AAAAATGAAATAGAAAGGTTGGTCAAAGAAATGCTTGAGGCAGGGATCATCCAGAACTCTAAAAGTCCTTTTGCTTCACCTGTGATTCTAGTGAAGAAGAAAGATAACACTTGGAGGATGTGTGTGGACTATAGGTATTTGAATGGGCTCACAGTTAAGCATGATTATCCAATTCCCATAATTGATGAGTTGTTGGATGAGATGCATGGTTCCAGGCACTTTTCTAAAATAGATCTAAGGTCTGGCTACTTTCAAATTCTGATGAAGACAGAGCACAGAGAACTCACAGCCTTTGCCACACACAATGGCCACTATGAGTTCCTGGTTATGCCATTTGGTTTGTGCAATGCACCAGCCACTTTTCAGTCACTAATGAATCAGGTTTTCAGACCCTATCTAAGGAAATTTGTGTTGGTTTTCTTTGATGACATTTTGGTCTATAGCCCTTGTTGGAAATCACACCTCATACACTTGGAGACAGTATTAAGGCTCCTAAGAGAAAATCAGTTGTATGTTAAGTTGTCTAAATGCCAGTTTGGTCAAACTGAAGTTGAGTACCTTGGGCACATCATTTCTTATCAAGGTGTAGCTACTGATCCAAAGAAGATATCCAGCATGCTAAGTTGGCCAAATCCATAAAATTTCAAGCAGCTCAATGGTTTTTTGGGGCTGACAGGTTATTACAGGAGGTTCATTAAGGGCTATGGTGTCATTTGCAAACCTATGACAAATGTTCTTAAGGGAGATAAATTTGTGTGGACCAAAGAAGCAGGAGAGGCTTTTCAGCAGCTAAAAGAGGCTTTAACTACAACACCTGTCCTAGCCATGCCAGATTTCACACAACCTCTCATTTTAAAGACTGATGCTTGTGGTACTGGGGTGGGAGCTGTACTAATGCAACAAGGTAGGCCAATAGCTTACATGAGCAAAGGGCTTAATCAGAAGAATCAAGCCTTGTCTATTTATGAGAGGGAGTTCTTAGCTGTCTTAATGGCTGTACAAAAGTGGAGAGGCTATTTGCAGGGGCACAAATTTGTTATCAAAACTGACCAGCAAGCTCTTAAGTACCTCTTAGATCAGAAGTCTATGAATCCTATGCAGCAGAAATGGATTACTAAGCTTTTGGGTTTAGACTATGAGATTATGTACAAAAAGGGAATTGAGAACAAAGTGGCTGATGCTTTGTCCAGAAGGGATAACCCTGACCGTGAATGCCTGGCTATCACTACCATTAAACCCTTGTGGATGCAGCAAATCATTGATAGTTATGAGCAGGACCCCTTCTGTCAGAAAGTCATTCAAGCACAATCTACAGAAGAGAATCCATATCCAGGGTTTGTTGTTCAAAGTGGACTCATCAGATTTAAAGGGAGAGTTATGGTTGGATCTGGTGTATCTGTTTATTGTATTTTTGTGCTTCTTTTTATGTGTTTTATGTGTGTAGTTGAGTCGG